CACTCAACATCTCGTCGGACTTCGCAGTTCAGATATGAAATCAATGTCTCGTCTTCGCTATCCAGCGGAAGTCTCTAAGGCAAAACATCGATGGGCTGGTCATATAATGAGAAGGACAGACGACAGATGGACAATAAAAACTCTGAAATGGATCCTTCGCGAAGCAAAAGGTCCTCGAGGGAGGCTACCGACCAGGTGGGTTGACGTGTTCGTTGCACGGAAGGACCAGCTGAATTCTCAGCTGGAAACGAGTAATGAATCTAAACCTCGCGAACGTCGCCGCTGCAGTTCGATACCAACATCGTGGACGCTAACGAGAGATAGAGGTGGATGGAAACAATGCTGGTGCCTGCTCGACGAGTGAAGACGGGCCATCTGAGTATCTAATTAATATGCTGATGTTAACTAGAGTTTGTCCTATATTTGGTACAGCAGTAGCAATCAAATATACATTTTGACAATAACCTCTGCTATTCTTATAACTAACCATTCACAAACGCTGTCGAAGCTCTCTTCGAGTCTACAGTTGCCGTGGGTTTCTTGGTCTCCACATCAGTTTTTTTCTCAATCTCTTCGTACTGTTTCCTTAGGTCGGCTTTCGTCTTTGGCTTCTTCGGCAAATCCGGGACAGTATATGACTCGTCTTCGTCGCTCTCCTCACTGGACACAATTCGCCGCTTAGGGGCGAGGGCAGCAGCCCGTTTCGTCGGTGGCTTTCCTACAGCACTAACACGCTCACTGGCTTTGATCGCCGAATTAAACGCTGGTGTTCTGTTCGGCGCTTTCCTTGGTGGTGGCCTTTCCGGGCTAGATTCTTCTGATTCGCTACTCGACGCTTCCTTTCGCTGTGCAACACGTGATGACCTTTTAAGAGGCTTAGATGGTTGTGGACTTGGCGCTCGCCGTTGGACCTTGAAATGTTCGAAATTACTCTTAACCTCTGAAAGAAATACTGATAAGCTCACTTCTCTGCTACTCCTCGATGATGACGATGAAACAGGAGATGCCTGAGAGGCTAACGGCCGGCGCGCAGTGCTGCTTCCATTGGTAGTGGCAGTTGGGGTACTGCGAGAAATCTCTGGCTTCCGGTCAACGCTTCGATTCTGAATAGGCAAAAGTAATACATCCTTTTAGCTCTGCTAAAATTCATTCTCCAAGCGAATGCTTTACAATCATAGCAATAGCTAACTTACTGCTGATGAGCTGTTCTTCACAGGGGGATCCGGAGATTTTTGTCGGTTTAGTTTACCTTCTTTCACCTATAATTCAAATTAAAGATGCATATTTACCGTACTAAAACATAGTTGCACTTCGACTTTGAATCCAGAAATTAAATCGTTGTCAGAAGGCGGCGTAGCAGGAGGTCCCAAAGACATGCTGCTATCCCCATAGGTGGCAATTAAAGGCGCGAGCCATTTCGGATGG